TGGGATAGCAGCCGGACCAACGCTCTCGAGCCCCCCTGAAAGGTCACTTACAGGGTTTGGTGCCCCATGAGTAAACCTCACCTGACTGGTAAAAATAGGAACATGCTCTTCAACGCGAGTTGCATAATGTCTGTACTTCTCAGGACATTGAACAACGAGTTGCGAAACGTCACTGACGAAGAAGGGCAAACTACCGGGCAGCCAGATGAAGGCCTTCCCAGAATCAACATCAATCCCTGTGCTTCTGACCAAAGGGCAACTGTCTAACATGTAATGATTAGCAAAATCCATGTTGTCAGACTCGAAGCCAAGGGTCTGCACACCAGGTTGGGGACCACCGCCGGTATGAAACGTCACGGGAGACTTAGACGCACCTAAGAACCGATCATAGGCGTCACGCGGAATCCCTTGGTCAAACAAGGCTTTGGCCGAACCTAAGTGACGACCAGCAGCAGTGTCAGCGGCCCATTCAACAGCATAGGATGGACCAGCAGAGATAACAGGAGTACACAAGCTAGAAGCAGCAACAAGCGCGACGACAGCTTTGGCTACTGCTCCAGGTTTGCTCTTGGCTCCATCTTTCGCTTTGGCTTTCGACTTCGGCGGAGCAGCCTTGTGACTAAACTTACAATTATCTCCATGAATGCAACCGGACGGCATCTGGAAGAAAATGCAAGGCGTCTTGGCTTTCTCAGCATCAGTCATGGCTTTCGCCTTAGCCTTAGCCTTTGATTTGGCTTTCGCGTTTGCATTGGGCGCTGGGGCGCCAGGAGCAATCGGTGGAGGAGGAGGATCTGCCTTGGGCGGAGCACCTTTCGGAGGTGCAGCAGGTGGGGAAGCTTTAAACTTACCATTTCCTCCATCTACAGCAGGAACAGCCTTCGTTTTCGGAGCGGGTGTGGCAGATTGCAGAGACTTCAGCACAGACTGCGCGTTGGAGTCCTCACGGTCCTGCACGATCAGATCCTGAATCTTATCCCACAAGTAAGACCACTCACGCCTATACGAAGATGCCCCAGATTCCCTGATGTCCTCAATAACGCGCTCAAGCTTGCGAATGTGTTTCACTCGATGGAAGAGCCATTCACCGGTGAGGCGATCATCAGGCCGTTGCCCGACCGGAATTGCACTGAGGACGAGGCGAATACGATTCACAAAGTCTCTCAAGTCCTTTATGGAACTTCCACCAAGTTCGATCTGAAACAAGGTTGATGCAGTCAGAACAGAACCTCTTACCCGATCGAGGTCGTAATGTCTTGCGATGATAGACAACATCACTCGACCTTTGGGCGATTGGCCAAGTTGACTACACCTTTCAATGTAAGCAGTGATATCTTGCTCAAGTTCAGAGGACTGCTTCAACACACGCCCTGATGACAGCTCACCAGCTATCCATGCATCGAGACGAGGAAGAAGCTCCGAATCTTGCAAATCAGCTCTCTCAGCATCAAAGCCTCTGGAAATCCAAGCCAATACAAGACCTTGACCCGAAGTATCAAGCTTGGACAACTGAACCTTGAAACCATTCTTCCAAGTTCTGAAGCTTGCCGCATCTGAAGGGACAGGTTCAAGCTTGAGATGTAAGAGAGCCCTTTGATCAACAATGTCCTTTTCCCGAAGCTCTTTGGCAGCTTCTTGATCCTCAATTTCATCATCTTCATTGGTCTCAACACTACCCGTAGCATTTTGACCGACCTGTTGGACTAACTGTTGGACTACCTCAATCAGCTGGTCCACGCGAGGGTCTGAAACAGGAGACGTGGGTTGAGGAGGAGCAGGACATGAAGGTGCGGGCGGAGGAACAAAGGTACCCGAGTACAGCAGATGCTGAGTGGGAGGATCGGAAGCTTCAAGGTGAGTCCATGACGCTTCACTAGCACCAGACCCGGATCCGCCTAGCGGAGCATGGGGTTTCGGTGGCTTAGGAGGAGATCCGGAGGTCGAGGCGCATGGAGCAGCCGACCGAAGCCTCTGAATCTCTCTCTCCTTGATCTGGCACTCTACCCGGACTTGATTTAGCTGAAAATTCAACATATTCAACTCCGCCTTTGCCTCTGCGAGCTGACGTTCAACATATTGACCGTACTCAAACAATTCCCCGCATCGAATCTCCGAACGCCTCAGCTGTTCCCGAAGCTGATCAACAGCAGACCCTGCTTCGGTCAACACGTCCCTGACTTGGCCTTGTACCTCACTGATAGAAGCCTGGTGTAGCAGCTCCGCCTGAGCGGCGACTCGATTGGCAGCTTCACCAGCAGCAAATTGCTGAGCAGCAAGGACTTGCTGAGGCGTGGCTCCTATGTTGAGCATCTGGTTATGAACAACAGTAGGAATACCAGACTCGTCGAGAGGGGCATTGACAGCTGGGTACGGGGCTGAAGCTTTCCTGGGAGTCCGAGCTAAGGCTCTTCGGTTGGCAGGAGGTGAGCGTTCGCGTTCAACCAAGGCTGAACTACTTTCTGAACCACCCGAGGCACAAGAGGAATCCCTCATACCCGGAACCGCGGCTGCTGAGGCACTGGAGATGTCAAGCAATGAGCTTGGATCAGTTGGGGTTGATTGAGATTGTGACATGATGACAGATGTGCGCTAGCAGGAAGGCAGGTCAGTGGCGCGATGCGCCGATCAGACCACACAGATACCCCCGGTCAGTGGCGCAATGCGCCTAACAGACCACACAGAAGTACCCTGAAGCCTGAAAGTAACCCTAAACCAAACTGCCGAAGACAAGGTGGTGGCGCAAGGCAGCCTTTCACACCAAGTCCGAATGCACACGCTGAGCACTTCAGCCAGAGATCCAATTCAAAATGTAAGGTTCCGCCTCGAAAATCGAGGAAAAGGAGCGACCAATTGACGGCAGATCCCGCCGAGGCAATTGGATGTGAAACGCAGCAGCGTTAGCCGATCTGTTCCACTCCTCACAGATCCCCGTGTTATCGTCTATTATCAACAACGATGGCTGCTGGAAAAGGCGTCGACAGATGTCAAGCTTTCCGAGGCGTCCTGTGCGGGATCGAGTGATGATGACTAAATCGGCTTGGCGTTGACCAACAGATTGTATAAAGGTGTTTCGAAGGGTGTCCAAGGCCCAATCCTCGATGCTCCTGGATCCCTCACCAATGTGGGAGCAAATCACCACCAATGCTCCCGCCTCCTCTGCAGCTCTGTGGACACGCCTAAGAAGACCCTGAACGTCCGAGAGCAACTCCGGTGCCTCGTTCGGGTAAGGAATCTTATACTGCTGCTTCCGCTGTCCAACGCGAGGTGCCCAATAATATCGGTCAATCACGTTGTGAAAATCAAATACGACGACCTTGCCCTCAAGCCGCTGGCTATCTTCGACTCTGAAGTTGCACCTGCTAAAAGTGTCTGGTGAATACAACAAGACGCTCCTCGGTAGGTCAACAATAGGATCTGAAGTGAGGGCTGACTTCGGCGGCACCTTCGGGATCACTGCAGCCTGACTCTCCTGGCTCTGCCTTGACGCTGGAGGCTTCGGTGGATTCTTGGGAGGAGTCTTCGGAGCAGTAATCTTAGGATCAGGAGGATACGCCGGCGGAGTCGGAACAGACACCTTAGGCACCGCCGCAGTCTTCGCTGCGGGAGCAATCCTCACCTTCGGCGTAGGGGCCAACCGTTGTCCAGAAACTGAAGCTGTAACAGAAGGCGCTGAAGATGATACTTTCGCCGACGGACCCTGAGAAGGTGCTATAGCCACTGCGCTCGCCGATGACGAAGACGACGGCCGCACAGGCGGCGCAGGAGGAGCAGGTGGCGTGCGAATCCTATGATATCCCGGCACTGCCCCTGACGCCTTTGGAATGAGTGGCGGCTCCTCTGCTTCTATTTCAACCTCAACCAATTCTTCCTCGGGCTCGCTGTCGGATTCAAAGATGGGTCGCCAACCCGGCTTCGAATAAAGCGGCCGCTGACTGCCGTCGGAGTGACGGACTGGTACGTCGTCTAAGGAAGTATATCGGAACGGTTGAAGATTCAGCTGGTACTGCTGGTACGCTTTACGTTTACGTACCGCACTTTTCCCAGCTCGGATCCCACGTGGCCTCGGAAGGATCTCTGGGCCACGATCTGGGTCCGGTGCATCCATGGAGAGACTTACGCTCTAAAGGACTTCACCAAACCAAAAGGGAAGAACGAACACTACGGCTGATAACCAGTTATTCTGACCCCAAACAGAGACAACGCTATGTTAGGGTAAGAAAGGAGAGGAAGGGAAGGGAAACCCCAAAAGAAGGACCCTGCCCTGAACGTGAAGGCACAGCTCAGCGGCGCCTTTTTCATCTTGAGCCAAAGTCGATGGCGTACTTAAGGCTTCAGAAGTTACATAGTCAGGCTACACTTCTTTACATGGAGGTTGTTCGTAAATCTTCAACTAAGGAAGGTGGAACAGACAACAGCAAGACGACCCATCTTGGTTCAATAGTCTGTTGAGGGCATTGCAAACAAAGAAGCCGTCTTCGTTGGGATGCAGAAGAAGGACAGGGGATTGCAAAGTTCAGCGGTTGACGTCGGTCGAAATGTGCAAGTTCCAGCTATTATAGTTGTTGGTCAGGTAGCCGAAAAGTGAAGGCTCGGGCGACAGCCGAAGGTACAAATTTGCCCAACACCAGTGTGTTGTCGGCACTGTCGGCTTTGGATGCTGAGACCACAAGTGAAAAGTAGCATCGCCGAGTGCTGGCTGAATGACAAATTTGAATTTCAATCTCCCCAATACGAGGCAGCACATGAAAAGTCACTGTGCTGGCGTGCAGGTTAAAGTTGAGCCAGGATCTGCTCTTGCTGAGGCCTGACCTCAAAGTGCAGACAAAGTGGATGGATGGTACCGGTGGGCCAAACTTGCTCCACCTGCCTTCCCGCGCACCAGGGGTCCGGATTTGGATGCAGAATGCAGGGGTAGGGACGCAGCATGCAGGAACCACCTACATCCGTCTTTGCCTTCCCTCCCAAAACAACCACATGTGCACGTCTTCGTGCCGAGGAACTGCCAGTCGAAGTTTTTCGGCACGGAGAAGTCCTCGCCAACGACGATGCTGGGCTGGCGGAATAGCTCCTAAAGTCTGCTCATGCAATCTCATCAGCCTGTAAGCATGCCCTTGCCCTGATGTTTGGGGGCGTGTGTTGGGGCGGCATATCATCAAAAGGCGTCGTGTGCTGCACTGACCGTGCAACAATAGAAGTAAACCTGAGGCCTCTGGGCGCGCGCTCGCGTGAATCATGATGCTGCACCATCACCACATGAACTGTTTGAAGCTGTCCTGTCCAGCCATTCTGTCGACAGGAAAGTCTGGCTGCAACCAAGGTTCCCCTTGACCTCGTTTATCAGGCTTCTTTGGCACCTTGTATCGGTTCAGGGAGTGAGCCCGCATCAATGTGGCTCTCCTGCTTGAGAGCAGGAACAAAACCAAACCATACTTCGGACATGAAGAGCAAAGGAATCAACACAAGGACTCCTGGGCGATGGCTCCCCTGGTTCCTCCTCAAGACCGATTTTCGAGAGCATGCAAAGGGAAGGAGGCACAGCATGGTGCAACTCCCATGGTGCCGGTACATGTGGTCGCATTCCCCAGTTCCTGCCTCAGGTCGGTGGCCACTGCCGGTGAGGAGCCAGGTGCGTAGGCTCTGCTTCCTGGCAGCTTCCACCGCCTCCTGGGCAGAGACTGCAGAAGACTTCCTCAACCAACAAGGATCTGCTCCTGCATCAGCGGGAGAAGTACATCTATCGCCAGCTTCTCTCCAGCTTTGCCTCACAGGGAAGGTCTCGCTTTCAGCGACAAGCCAGCAACTTTCGTTGCCTTCTTTCAGGAGGTTGGAGAGGTGGTGCTCCAGTCTGCGAAGGCCTTCCTTCAGCTGGACCTGCGACAGAGACCAGGCCTCGCCTCTAGCAGAGATGCTTAGAGAATATGATGGCTCCATCACCGATCTCAGCACAACAAGACGTGCTCCGCCTCAACATCCGGCAGGTCGAAAGTCACTATGAGTGGAATGTGATCTGATGGCTCCTCGCCGTGCCGGGCGGCAGGGCGGAGGCCCACTCCACTCTTTGCTTAAACCTCCGCTGTTTTCGCCCCTCCTGGTCGTTCGGCATGACACCAGGGCACTTCAGGGCACTCTTCTTCTGCAAGGATAGCATCTCCTGCGCACGTCGGAGTTGTGACTGTGCGATTTCAGTCCCTTTCGAGTCCTCGTCAAAGAATACGTAATCGATCGTCTCTTCCCGCATGCCTTCAGAAAGGAAAGTTCTGACTCCACCGAGTCAAAAGCCCTTTCAGAGGTATTTGTGGCCTGTGATCGTCGAGGAGGCGTCATTAGAGCCGTAAATATCGTCGTAGGCATCCCGCATTTTCAACTCGCGCCCGTCTGATCGCTCCCAAATGAAGCGGCGCTCCTGCCATGGCCCACGGCACATCTCAGATGCTCCAACGCCCTACACGGTCCCTACATGCCGTGTGTCCATAGCTAACAGCGAGGGATCAAGGCGCTGCTATGCGCTGCTAGCCCTGCTAGCTCCTCACGGTCCTTCTCGTAGCCTGTGTGGTCCTTCAGTTGATCGGCCACGCTGCGACTTTCCAAAAGGAGTCTGTTGCAGCACATAAGTCTCCGGCCAATGATCTCATGTGTTTGAAGTCCTTCTGGGACACCCACTCCTGGGCATGAGGCATGGTCAACAGCATCTTACCTTGCGTCTCGGCTAGCTCTCGTGAGACGGTGCTCCCGAGTCTTAGCGTCTGTCGGGTAGTGGTGACCTGAACTATTGCCTTCGAAATTTCTGGAAGTCACGGCTGTCATAGCTGCGACAGCACCGTTACGGTTTCAAGCGACTCAAGACAGTTTCAAACCTGTGCGTGTGCCGATCGAGGTGCTAGGCGGGCTGGGTCATCAGCATTGCACTCAAACTTGATCAGTGCGTCGCCGTTGGTGTCAATCTCCTCTGCACTGCCGCTGCACTGCACTCTCCAAACACAGCCGCTTCAACAACTGCTGCCGGACAGTGTTCAACTTGCCTCTGGCAGCACAAACTTTCACGCTCCGAAGTCCAAAGAACATTTGAACAAGTGCAGGAAACAAAGCCAGCAGCACGAGCAGCCTGCACTTCTCCGATAGTCTTGCTGCGAATCCTCCGCTTCCCAGCATTTCCAGCCCGTGAGTTCAACAGATTCTACTCGGGTACCGCGTATCATGATGAAAGGCTTCAAGTGCTGTGAAGTGGCTTGTACTTCTGCTGGCTGATGGAGTCGAAATCCTGCAAGACCTGATCGCCGCCCCACTCTGTTACGAGGACCAGTTCGGCTCCGAAAAAGGAGCATTCTGATGACGTTTCAGCTGCCTTCACGAAGCGGTCCTTTTCGACGTTCTTCTCCTGTCAAGTTGTCTCTCGGGGTTCGCGAGATATCGAAACCAGGGGGCCCGAGAGCAGCTGGCATCTGCATCTCGGCCGAGTCGCGCCCTTCAGGAACTTCTTCTTCCAAATGAAGTCGTGAGAATGCCCACGACTATTGATGTTAAAATCACCGCAGAAGATAACAGCTTCGTGAGGATTCACCAACTCACCTGGGCATGTTTGCCAAAATCACATCCAGGAAGTCTGATGTGCCCCTTGGAGCTAAAGAAAGCAGTGCAAAGGCAACTGCCGGCATATGCTTGCCCCAGCCGATTTAATTGCCCCAGGCGTGAAATGTCTGCATGAATCTGCCCGCAACTGTCTCTTCAATCAACGTCACCAGGTCGGAACATAGAATAATGAGGTCAGTTTTGTTGATGCATATTACGCTGCTAGTCTGGTGTTGTTAACATGTCTCGTCTCAACCAGTCATGTTCGGGGTGCAAGACTTGCGGTGATGTCCCGCAAGATTGGGATAGCTGTAGTGGTCCCCACTCCAGAAGTTCTAGATGGCTTCTGGAGACTATGCCCCACAGTAGCAAGATTCTCCGTAGGGTTCCTCCCATAAGCCTCATACAATACTTGCTTCGGTGTCCCAAAGAAATGCCTCACATGGTTTAAGGGTTGAATCGTCGTGTCCCACACAGTGAGCCTCACAGAAAAAGTTTTTCTTAGCACCCGGCTCAATAAGCCATAAGCCTCATCGTAGCAGCTTCACCTCCACACGTTAAGCCTTCATTAAGCATCAAAGGAAACAACACTCGCTGGAATGTGCCACGCAATACCCTCAGAGGCAGCAAGAGCTGCGCTAGTCTTTCCTACCAAAAATGCCTCGTGGTCCGATTCAGCACTGTCACAGAACTTGCACCACTGTGCCTCGTCTTTGGTTGTTATCGGTCTATGCCGGCAAAATCATAGCTTACAGGAGTACTGCCCGAACAAAGGCCACGGATGCATGGCCGAGTTGCTCATCAGGCTGTTGATGGTGCACAGCTCTTCCTTAAAGCAAAGAGCAAGCTCTTGGAGTTCTGGGGTTTGTAGCTTGCTTAACGAAGCTTGGCAAAACAAGCTTCAGTAAGTTGGCTGTGACTGTGATGACGATGATAGTGGTTGAGTGATGCCGGCGATTGTGCTTTCTGACTGCGACAGCACCCCCACGACCCCGACAGACGGATTTGCTCGGTCATGTCTCGAATTTGAGGCCAGGACACAGAACTCTTTAGATCAAAGGTTGCGCAGCAGTTTCAGAGAATCAGAGTGTAGTAGCTTCTGCCGCCCCACTTCCACATCCATAGTTTGTATAGAGCTGTCCGTCTCCCTGCCATGCTTTTGCAAGTCTTTCCATCTTACGGCGAAGAATCCAGGGATGAATCTTCTTCTTTCCAGGAGCGTTTGCACACTACAGAGAAACTGCGCATCCACGCAACAGCTTGCCCCCAGTGAGTCGAGAGGGAACGAGCAAGGGCCTGTAAACCCGATGTCTCCAATGCTTAAAGTGTAGAGCTGACAGGCATCATGCTGCTCATTCATGATTGACTTACACACCTTCACCTTCGGGAATCAAATCGTCAAAGCGGCAGTTCGGACTCGGCCGTGCAGGTCTCGACTGGCGGTCATTAGATGAGTCGTGCAGAAGAGCAGGGGCTGCCTGAAGACAGGACCGGCGCTGAAAAGATCTGAACTCCTCGAACATCCTCGAACCATTAGCATCTCATAACCGCGGAAGCTTCAAAACTCCTTATTTGGGTGCCCGGTCCCTCGGATCTGCAGCCGCACAAAGCCCAAACTTCTGCGGTCCATGGTCTTCATGAGCTTTCCGTCCTCTCCCCTCTCCTGCAGGGAAGAACCACCCAAACCTCTAAACCTTTGAACTCTAAAACCCTAAACACGAATCAACTCTCCTGCAAGTCCAGGTTGCCAATCAGCTTGTCCTGCAGTTCCTTCTGGTTTTTCTCCTCTGACTTCACGAGCTTTGGCATGGCATTTTACAGGAAAGCTCTAGGGTTGTGGCTCATCAGCAAAGCCAGATGTCACTGAAAGGAAACGTGTCCCAGGTGCCTTCAGATGATGTTGAGGAATCGACGCATCCTTGTCGTTGTGCAAGATTGTCACTTGCATCATGCCATCTCGACACTCCTGCTCGCGGGAAGATTACACACAAAAAAGACCGAAAGCTTGAATCCCTCTGTGTTATTTCCTGATTCGACTAGGGCTTGGAGGCAATGCAAGTCCTCGCGCCGCACAGCATCGCTCCTTGACTTCCACTCTGGTTCCGGCTGGTCCGTATGTGTCGTCAGCAAGCTCGGCCAAAGATGCCTTCCAGAGCTCCTTGAGAAGGTGACATCTGCTAAGTCAAAAAGGCTACGGAAGCAGCAGCGGCAAAGACTACAAGGGGAGATGTTGTTTTCGCGCTCGTCGTCGATGATAGCGCAAAGCTTTCCGGTGTGACAAAGTAGAGCATGACCCATTAGTAGTATCCTTGAGCCCGCCCTCGTCTTTTGATTTTTTCGCCAAGCTTCACTTTCCAGCACGCCGCTTGCAATTTGCCGCCGCAACTCTGGCGTGGAGAATTCTTTCTTCCAGAAGATGCCCTGAGCTGCGGTACAACTCCAGAAATCGCCGGAAGAAGGAGTTGGGATGATGCATGCTTGGAGGGATCTGACGGAGGACTTTAGAGAACGTGGTACTGGTAGGGCAAACGGAGTTGATGGTTAATGCCTGCAGGGCGCAATGCCCGCTCTTTCTTGGCCTGGACACAGGAGTTGTGCACCTGCAGGGATGACACCAAATCCAGCCGAATCCAGCTAGAACTCTCGGCTCGTGACAAAGCAAGCCAAAACAACGCAGCCCTTCGGGGAGCCTTCATAGCCGGCACTAGCCATGTGCTCGTGGAACTGTTTCTTCTCGACTTGGAGCCGGTGCATGTCCTTAGCGCAAATGGAGACCCTGCCTTTGGATCACCGAGCATAAATCGCAACTCGAGGTGTCATACATACACAGACAGACAGGCAGGCAGATGTTCACATCCATGCATATATGCGTACATGCATAAGACCAAGATATGCACATGCACACATGCGTACGTGATGCTTTCATACAGCAGACAAGCAAGCATGCATACAGACACACAAACGTCGAAGGCAGCATCAAACGAACAACTTTGACACACAAGCAACCTTGACGACGATGATGATGGTGATTATGTTGATGCTGTTGACGGTGGCCAAGAAGCTCCACGGCCCAAGCCTCTGTTGGGACCCCCTGGGAGGGCTTTCTTTCTGTGGGGGTGGTGTGGCTTGGGGTGTTCTCCTTCTTCTTCTCCTTGAGGGTATTGAAGGAGTTCCTGCGCGGCCATGGCCTTAGGCGACCAAGTCCTGCGCGACCACTCCTGGATGACAGGGCGACTTCGAGGAATCTGTGTCCTCCTTCTGCTGTGGATGTCACAGCTCACACCAGTGTGGGCCCAGCGGCATAGCAAAGAGGACTCTCACCACTTGGAAAAGCCAGAGGACCCTTGCCTCCTCCAACTGCCCATGCGGAGTGAGCATGCTTGGAGAATGATCCTATCAAGGAGTACGTTGCAGCGGAGGGACATGCGTCCAGGTTTGTGTGGATCTGCCTTTGCACCTCGCATCCTTCGTCAGCCAGTTCTTGGCCGGCCCTGCAGCTTCTGCAACATGCGATACCAGAGGCCGGCCAGCCTGCATCCGCACTTCCCACCTCGTAAACCGAATGGTAGGTGTCAGCGCCCCAAGTCCTGTTCTGGTGCCCTTTGCCCTAAATTTCCCGTCACTAGACAACATGATGTCACCAGACACCCCAGGCGTTCAGACTGTCGCGAAGTTACCACAGCTGGTGACTGTCCGCCAGCCCATGCTAGACACTGGTTTTGTCCTAGCCCCAGTCGTTCCCTACATTGTGTACCCGACGACTCGCACAAGGTCAAGGCCGCAGCGGTCCCAAGTCCGCTGGCTGCAGGCTGTTACAGCTTTGCACTTTTCACATCGCAGCTGCAGCTGGAGCGAGGGTTCCACCTATTCCCGGTAGGTGGGGGACCCTGTTCATCAGAGCAGGGGAAGCATCACGGTCCTGCGCAGGGAGTAGGCCTCAGTCGCGGATCCAATATACCCAGGGCTACGAAACGAGCCTTTAGAAGAGCCAGGAATCGCGCTGCCACCTCGCTGGAAGGTGGCACCTTCTATCGAGGCAGGTGGCACAGCACCTCCACCCTAAGAGCTCTTGTTGCCCATGAAGCACCTACCATAAGTAAGCCCCATGCCTGTAGACGAACCTGCAACAGCCGACAGTACCCTGAAGCTCGCACTTTCTGTTGGAACGCTGGTGGCCTGACCAGCGCAACATTCCAAGAGTTGATGGCCTGGTTAGACTCCGAACGCCGCTTCGATGTGGTAATATAAAAGCTTGTGTATGCCTTCAGCAGCGGAGGGCTTATGCAGTTGATGCGCCTGCCATGCACGCCGAAAGGCAACTATTTTCCGCTATTTAGCACATGATCAGAAGTCTTCGGCCGTTTGCTTTATGCCCAATTTGGGCTAGTCAACTTTACAACTGCACATGCATTGGCCACTGCTTCATAGGTGCGTCCTTGAATCAAAAGGCGGGCGACACAATCATCAGCAAAATGCCTTATGCATCACCTAGTTCGAAAATAGGGAGGATCTGGATTTCATCACTCCTCCTTGGTACCCCCTGTCAAGGGAGAACCACAAAGTCGGGTACTCTAGATCCGACCGCGTTTCAGTAGATCCGGTTCCCGCGATTCTCGCGCAGCAACGACAAAGCTCCACTCTCGAAGTCCTTGAAGCATTTCTCAGGCCCCAACACGTCTCATACAGATGGAGCTTATCACTCCCTTGCGTCATCGTGAAGGGTCCTTCATACATACGGATCTCAACGGGAGGCGGTGGCTGCACTCTTTGGAACGCTGGGGTGTAGTCAGCCTGTGTCTCCTTACCGCACATCACCTTCTTCTTCGGCTGCTTATTGTATGTTGGAACGAGGGTCCGTTGCTACCGCATGGGCCTTCAGGTAGTAGAGGTGTCGAAGAGGGGACCGATGGGGTACCCGGTGATATATCTGAGGGTAAGGACGGAACCGGAGAGGTATTCGGTGGCATAGTTTGCTCGAACCTTTCTTTCAGTTCGTACATTCTCTTCATCTGCTCACTGCTCAGCTGCGAAGGCGATAAGGAGAGAAGGCCTTCATTGAAGTCGAAGAAGTCTTGATGACCCTGTCCTTCATGTTCCAGAGCTGAACCAGCTCCTTTAAGCGACTTCTTGTAAAAGGTTTCGTACCAAGATCAGCTCGTTGAAACGATCCTGCAACGTGATGGACTCTGACTTCGTTTGACTGAGTCCTTTCCTTCATCCAGTGGGACCTTAGCTTTAAGTGCCGTGTCCTCCAGCTTCCACTCGAAGCCGTTAGGAGTGTAACCGCGGCCTGGTTGTCGACATACAAATCGATGACAATCGGCTTGCGAAGAATCTCCTGCAAAACCTCTCGCACTGACATACCAAGGAGGGTGCCCTCAATGCCTTCAATCAACTCACTCTCCGCCGTAGATAACGTAACTAGCGGTTGGCGCGAAGAGCGCCATGTTATGGGACTCTGGCCCAAGAACACCGCCGTAGCTCCATGGCTTCTCCCAGCACTCGGCGCAAATGAGGAGTCCGTATATACATTTAGAGTGATTTCCCCTTCTTCCCCTGGATCTGAGAGGCGTGTACGATAACCAATCGTCTCGTTCAAGTAGTCATGGAGCCTCTGACCAATGCGGTTCACCATTTCCGGGCTTTTTGTAATCTTCGATGCCATCAGGGCGGTGACGTACTGGATGTCCGGTCTCGACCGACTCATAAGCCACATCATTTCCCCGACCCTACCTCAGACTCCAAACCCGTTAAGTCACAGGGCTCTGCATTCACCAGGGCCTCCTCTTCTTCATGAGAGAGAATGAGAAGCTCCTTTGGTCCTTGACTCGTGGATCTCGAACCATCATACTTGTAGGAACGGAGGAGCTCCCTTATAAAACCTTCTTGACATAGTTCCACAGCTCCGTCCTCTTGATGTAACTCCATTCCAAGGAATCGTATCGGATGACCTTCTTCTAGAACATCCAAAGCATCAACTTCCCATTTTTCCAAAATCCACTTGAAGAAACCCTGCATAGTCTGGTCCTCGGCATGAATGAGGAGGTCGTCGATGTACACCAGTACGTAGCCATAGACCTCAGAGTCGGTACCATCTTCTCGAACAACCCGCCAAATCTGGTCATCAGTCACCAACTGCTCAAGCTTCAACACCACTGGTTGTCCCTTGTCTTGTATGGTCCATCTGGCCTTTCGGAGCTCACGGCCGGAGACTCCCGTAGACCGTAGATGGCCTGCTCCACAAACCACATGTCACCGCGTTCTGCTAGCCCAAGTTCGTAGGCTATTGAAGGTGGCTCCAGAGCCACAGGAAGCCCCAACCATTTCGCCAGAACGAAGGCCTGACGCACATCCGTGGTTCCAATCTTCCATCGCTTTCCAGCATTCAGTGACAGTATATGGCCCGCAATGACATAGCATCAATGCCAGCTGCAAAGAGGTCGAAACATGAGGAGTCTTCTGGTACATGATTTCCGCAGGCCACAAATCTGGTTTTTCGTCTGAACCCTTCTGGGACCTTTGTCTGGTTTAATGGTGTAGACACCCTTACATGGAACGATCCGGCAATTGGGAGGAAGTTCTGACCTTTTCCGTACCGTGAAGGCTTTCTTTGCATCCTTGAGGTTCTCAAACTCTTTCCGAGCTGAGGGACGCCAAAGATCGACATTTTTTCGAACATCAGCTAGGCTAACGTTGCGGGTCACCTCCAAGCGCGCACCTTCCTTTGCAATGTTCTCCAACAGGTTCTCAATCTCCGGGGTATACTGGACCTCGGCTTTCTTCATCATCTTCCGAATGCCCCTCTGACATTCCCTTGAAACCACCGTCTCACCACCACCATGTTCTGCTGAAGTTCGCAGGTGGAAGATCTCCTCATCCTCGATCTCAACGAAGCCCACTTCCTCAACGTTAGGAACCTTCAACGCTTTGAGTGCAGGGTCTTCAGCTCCTCCACTGTCACCTTCCGGCTCACCATCATCATCGGAATCCCCACTGGCATGATCCTCAGGCGCAGCTTCAAAAGGGAACCCACAGAGTTCAACTCTGACACGTCCTCCTCTGAAAGCTTCGTTGCTCTCGGAGTGTACAACAACATCATCAGCCGTTTTCCAACCCAAGGTTGAACTTCATGCCATCCTCGAGGAGAGAACTTAGCGCATTTGCCCGGGTGCATGTGAAGTAGCCTGCCCTTGATCTCCTTTCCATTTGGTAGGATCTTTGAAACAACTTCACTTCCTTCTACATCATCATCTTGCACCCAAAGTTCACCTCCCTGAAACTCCTGGAGCGGCAACACACAACTTGTTGACATTCTTGAGTTATGAACATCACGATGCAATCCCAGCTGCGCATTCTTCGCCAAACCCACACCACATTGAACTTCACGCTCTTCGCGATAGTCAGACCACCATCGTACACTAGCTAGCGTATCCTCCCGCCACCTCCCTCTACACCTCCGGGGAGTACGTAGCAAGCCTAGCTTAAGCTAGCTGGCTTCACGCAGTAGCACGGACAACACGAACTTCTCTCTTTTTAGCGTTGTGGCGAAGTCCCGCGTTAGCCCGGAGAAGAACTCTAGCCTTTGGCTAGCTAATCTCCAGGGTGGGTTGGGTGGGCACTCGAAATTTGCCCCCCAATAGCTGGGGGCCTTTCAGCACAATGGCCACGGAGTAGCACTGCTTCACCGGCCATGTGCAGACACTCTAGCAAACAGACAAGCTTCGTTCTGTTTAGCTTCAGAGGAAAACCCCTTCGAC